CAGAGCAACGGAAAGTTCAAAATGCAGGAAGATTGGTTGTCACCTGGATTTGATAATACTACTACTACACTGTCCAATTTCAATTTGTCCACCTATTTTTTTGTTCAAGATCATTTTCAGATACATCAAATAAACATTTTCTATAACTTTGACTAATTTCTGGAATATTCATAATTTTTGTACAGAAAGTTCAGATATCTGGTGAAACTGAAATAAAGGCTACATGGTACATGAAATCATCAATTCGAGCTGTTTCTATACATGCGAAAAAAATTCTTCAAATTTCAACCGTCTTATATCACCAATATTTTATCTGTTACAAACTATTTGGGCTTCTATTTAACGGTACCTGCATATTGATAGCCTTCAAAAACGCCTTCTGTGCTGCCAGAGTCTTCTCAGACATTGTCATTAGTTTCGTGGCTTTTTTCATTTGCCATCGTAGCAGAAAGAAGAATGTCAAGCACTCTGTAACCATAATAGTGACACTTATAATCATCCGTACTCGAATCCAGTCAGGATCTGGTACATTGTAGGCAACCACGTAGATTGGATGGTCAGGACTGTCAAATCGTTTTACTTGGGGATGATGCTAAAAATTTTAATTTGTTGGGCAGTTTGACTTATATCCTATAGGCTCGAGACTCACCTCAAATATCCACTCTCTTGCCAAGGTCTGATCGGGGATATCCATCATTGTGGGTACGTAATAGAGGAATGCTAGAGCCACATTGGTAATATAGTATGGGTATCGAACATATCGCCACCAAGTTTTCTCAGCGAAAAGAATGTAGAAACGGTTCTCGAAGATGGCGCCGGTAGAAATGGCGACCACTGAGCGGAATTAGTATGATTGAGATTTGCCAGCTCAATTATCTCGGTTCCTACAAAAGATATTGAAATTTTGTCAACTGATAAAATTTTTATCATAATATCACCATTATTCTCTTAATTGACAGATTTCTGATATTTTACATGGAAACCGAGATAATTAAGCTCAAAGTACATTCATCAACTTTCATCTACAGTTGCTCTAATAAAAGTTCACCCCATCGGTGCATTTTGAGATCAATTTTCTATGTTCATATAAATCCAATCGAAAATCTGGCAACTGATAAAATATTGATGACATTTTGATAAGCATTTTATCAATTGACTGCTTTTTCATATCTTTCATAGGAACTCAGATAATTGAGCTCAAAGTGCACTTATAGGGTGGGCTTCTATTATGTAGAGCAAACATGATATGATCAGTTATAGATACTAGAGAAACTGTAAACTCTAGCTTCTCTACTTTTTTTCGCTGTTTTCCCAAACTCACTATTCATCAGTGTCACCATCAAGTACACCTGTATCCCTGGATCCACACCGAACAAGTGCAACAATCCCAATGGAGCACCTCCAAAAACCGGCGGCACTATAAACGGCTGTCCCAAAATTCCGAGCAACAAATCCAGGCCACAACCCCAAGAATGTAAATTGAACATGGCCCATTTAACTCTTTTCATGGTTTCTGGTGTCTCAACTAGGATACACCAGGCACCAAATAGATGGATAGGGAAGGCAATGCATCCGAGGATATACAGAGATAACGAATAGAATTCCGGAGAGCTGAGGTACGAAACTTCAGAGGAGCTCATTTTTACAGAAAATATGTATGAATTATGTCTGATATGTAGCTTGAAAAAGGAGGAGTAGGAGGGGGAGGAGACTGGAAGATGTAACTAATAATTATCAAAATCAGTCAACCTTTTCCATTGTCAAAAATATCAACAAATTTAAAAGAAGGAAACAGAAAACAAAGCAATTAGGTATGGAAAATATGTATTTTGAGATTGAAAATGAAGTTGCTTTTATAGAAAAATGACAAATCGGAAAAGCTGAAAATTTAGATTTGATTAAAATTGACAATTTTTGGGGAGAAGGAAAATGAAATTTTCGAGAGAATATTTTTTGAAACTATATAATTTTAATTCCAGTCTTTTTGTGCTGATTAGTTTTCTAGTTTTGTTATTCTTGGCTTAATACCTTTTTTGTAGTTTTTTGAAATTCCTATAAGTTCTCAAAGTGCACCTCTTGTGAATAAATTTGCACCTAAAATGTGTTTTGTATATAATCATAGCAAGACATATGATTTTCTTCAAAACTTTCAGTGTACCCAAAACAGAATCACCTCATTTATTTCATGCACTCAAAAACAATTCGTCATTTTTCTGGGCTACTGTACCCCTCGGTGCCTATCTGAAGACGTGACTGACACAAATGGTGACCACCGATTCAGCGTTTTCAACCCTTTCAATTTTTCACATAACAATCCTTTACAGTACTCCCGATAAGCATGATGACAGTATAACATCACCAATGCAGCAGATCCCTTTACAGTGCTCCCGCCATTTCTAATATATTAATTGTTTCAAAGTCACACGACTCTGGTTGTTCAAAACATTTCAATTTTAAAGAAATCTTTTTTATTCGATTCAAATTTTGTTTGATCCAAAATCTTCCTTATTAATAAAACGCTAGAGGCGTCTGTCCGTCCTCGTGTCCGTCTGTGGACTTTTGAAAAAATTGAAAAATACTTATATATTTACGTGACCCTTTTATTTAGAAAAAGTGAGAAACGAAGCGACAAACATTTGAAAAAAAGTAGATTGAATCGCGCCGAAGGCGCACCAGCTTGCTGGTACTATACAAATCTTTACGCAGCGCCAAAACTACAATTTCCTGTAATTTTTTTTTCTTTAAAAAGGTAAGATTCATTTTCTGATACCTATAAGACCCCAGAGAACTCTCAAAGATAAATACACATTCGAGACAGAGAATCGTTGATTGATTTATAGTGACAGCTATAAATTCACGGTTTGTGTATTGTTTGATTGTACAGTGTTGTAGTTTGGGTTTTCCAAAATGATTAATTTATTAGTTTCATCAAGAAAAATCTGATTACGGTCAATCCAGCATATTTGCAGTTTCTCCGGTGCTTCAAACGTCTGGCTGGTGCGCTTACGGCGCGGTCTGATGGATTTTTCCTTTTCAAAAACGAAATTAACGTACAAAGAAGAGAAGAAATAATATTTCATTTATCTAGAGATCACAAGAAGAAGAATGAAAAAAAAGTCAGGTCCAGTGGGAAAACCAAAAGGCAACGCTCGTGATGATTACTCCAAAAACGAATCCAATACCAAAATGGACCACAGATTCTTGCATGATTGGATCTTCGTCTTCTTGGTTGGCATTGTTGTCGATCTCATTTTCCAGCCGAATAATAGGATACAACCGTAGCTCAAATATACAAGAACAGTTCTGGCAATTCGAGTTCATTTTGTATTTTTTCCGTTTCTTCCTATTTTATACTTATTCAGAATTAGCTCATTCCTCATCTTATAATTCAAAGTAAGGAATGACTCATTTGATCCAATATAAGGTCCCCTAATAGTATCCCAATCTTTGTTTGAAAAGGAAAGAACGTGTGTTATCAGTGGGTCTCATCTATCTTATCAATTTTCGAACTTGGCGAACGCTTTCGCATGGAACCCAACAAAATAAGGTGACCGACGAAATTGCTAATATTTGTACTACAGTACCTGAAAAAAGCATATTTTGGCATTTTCAGCGGAAAGGGGTGGAATTGCTAATTTCTTTCAGTACTTCCGGCGAAAGTGCGTCAACTTTGAAGTCGTAAAATGTAGTTCAGGATTTTTGGATTTTGCTGAAAATTTCAGAGTATACTAAATAAGAATAGGGATTCATATGTGAAATTGACAACTTTTATGGGAAACTTCGACACAGCGAGATAAGCGGACACAACGTTCCTTTCAGTGCTATGATACTTTGCTCTTGTAGAAGTCCACCCAAAACTTTGAGCTCAATTATCTCGGTTACTTTGAAAGATATCAAAAATGTCTCAATTGATGAAATCTTGGTGATATTTTGATAAACAATTTATCAGTTAAACGTTTTTTGATATATTCAGGAAGAACCAAGATAATTGAGCTCAAAGTATGCGTCGGCTTCTATTGAAGCAAATACGGTAGTTCCGGAATTTTCGGCACTTTTCTGGCGGCTTATCTTATCAGAATGGGATTTTGCTAAAAATTGTCAATTACAAAAATAAATCTCTAATTTTGTTTATCATAGTCTAAATTTTTCAGACAAATCGAATAATTCTGAAACACTGTCCCAGGGGTCCAAAATTGACCGGTACTTGCTCTGATATGCCTACGTTTATGTGCACTTTGAGCTCAATTATCTCAGTTGCAATGAATGATATCAGAAATCTGTTGAACGATAAATTATTGGTGATATTCTGATAAACGATTTATCAGTTGACAGATTTTCTATATCTCTTATAAGAACCGAGATACTTGAGCTCAAAGTAGACAAATCGAAAAATTCTGGAATTTTTTCCGGGACATCAACGTTTACTATTTTTTCACTGAAAAAGTCAAAAATTATATACTTGAGCCCGGTAATATTGTAATTTTAAAAAAAAATAAATTTTTTTATAAAAAAACAATTTGTTTACATAAAAAGTATCATCACCGGGAGCAATAAAAAAATGCAACAACAAAGAATGTTTTAGAAAAAAACCGTAAAATACACAAAACACAAAGACTTTTATCATACCAACATCTGCACTTCTCGATAGTTCTTATCATATCTGACCCTTCCTTCAACGCCGTCGTTCCGCCATATTGATACGTAGCCCCGTATGATTTTGTGGCGATTGTTGACCCTGGAATATGATAATACGATAATAGTTGGAACATTTTCCTAAAAATCCGAAAAAAGATGACGAAGTTTGTAAAACGCTAAAAAATAATCCCAAAAAAGCAAACTCACAATTTGTGATAAATCTGTTCTCCTTGCTCAAGCTTGTCGAATCCAGGAAGAGTGAAATCGTGTTTTAATTTCTCACTTTTCAGCGAAAAATACTCCAAATTCTGATACATTCCTTCTCTCCATTCCTCGAAAAATTTAACAACATCCTGCCCAATCAACACTGTCCCATCTAGTTCAATTGACACGCAGTTTTTCATAGCAGCCAAATTTTGAGGGCAAATCCAGGAGGCGTTGAAAATGAAAATTTGTTTGGCATCAAATCGGATCTGATTGTTCCTTCCAAAATCATCTGATAGTTTTTCTCCTAGTGTCAACTCTTCCGTGATAGTGAGCTTATCCAGAATCCATTTCACATTATTCTCAACCAACGATTTAGCAGCAATGTCCAGACTCTTGATTTCTTGCTGCGATGAGGTTATCTTATGTACAATCAGCAGGAATGTTGTTGCAGGAACCGACGCATCGGATCTCACGGAGTGTGTCGGGCATTCAAAGAGATTAGAGAAGTGCACGAACATTGTCTTTAATCCGTTCGTTCGGTTCTCCCAAAAGCTAACCATTTTCGTCGGATTCTCGTAGTAATACGCGGCTCTCATGTCGTCAAAATATTGGAATCCTGTGACTTTTCTCTCGTCTCCAAGCCGAAATTTTTGCGCCTCTATTTTCATGACATTGTCAATCATAATCCAACTGGAGCTCAGGTTGAGTTCCAATTTCAATTCTTTGGTGTGTGCTAGTTTGGCCTTCTTTCCAGATTTTTTAGAGCATTGGGCAAATTTGAACCTAAAATTTGAATGAATCATAAAAAGCCTGTAAATAAAAGAATGTTAAAATCAACTTACAGTTCAGTAAAAGCTAATTCATTCAATATTCTAGCTTGAATATCTACTGGAAAGTCAAGTAGTTTGATAGGCATAGTGTTGCAACAACGGAATAAACAACGTAGGGAGGAGGACACGAACGGCAATGACCGGTGGAGAAGAAGAAGAAGTAAAAGAAGAAGAAGAAAACGGGGGGAGGGTTTGTCCCCGTCGATCGATTCCAGTGTATATGTTGGCTGGTGTTCCCGTGGACCCGATGCTTATCTCGTGTCCCGAACGGAAAACGAGGGAGAGAGGGAGAGAGAGACGCAGAGAAAATGAGTAGAGGTCCTTCATGGACACAAGTATGCCGTCTCTGTGCCGGGGAGGAGAGGGGTGGTGTATGTTGTAATGATGCTAATGGATAGGTTCTGAAGAAGGGGGTGGCTTTGTGAGAGGGCGAAGGGAATGTACGGACCTCTTACGTTAGCTAATTTCGCATGTGTGTGTAGTGTTTTGAGAGAGACTTATTAGAAATGCAAGTGTGAACACTCATCGGGCCGCTGATCCGCGCGTGAGCCTTGTGAGAAAAGCAACCTGGTGGCTTCATTAGCAACGTTCATTAGCAGGAATCTGTCACCTGGAGGGGTACCGTAACACCTGGGGTCAAAAATTCGCGGGGTAAACGGGGTACAACTGATTTAGGGGTACAAAATTGATGACTCGAGGGTACAAAACAGATGGGTAAATTGTAAACCTGGGACCGAAGGGTTTGAGCCAGGGAAAAGTATATTTCCGGGAAAAGTATCAAAAAGTGGTTAACTAACAAAATGGGTATCATAATATTTGAAGCAATTTTCTAGTTTAACGCCTTTCGATACCTTCTACAGGAACCGAGATAAACGGGAACTTTTGTGAAGGTACCTTGGTTCTGATTTAAAAAAAAAGTTCTAGAAAAGAGTATATAAGAAGTTTTATAAAGCTCTAAATGATGCGTTTTGCAAAAAGTAGTTTCAATATTATGTGGTTGGCAACTGTTTTAGGTACCTCAACTTCTAGACAGCCGGTTGGGGTTAAAGAGAGCAAAACCAAAAATCGAAAAGGATAGCAACAAGTGAATTTTCAACGCGTTTCAGATTTCCAGAGAACACTCAAACGAACAAAATGGGTATCTCAAACCACAGAGACTTATTCTGCATCTATATGTACATATGTTCAGTACCAGACAAAAATATACCAAATTCAGACTTTTTCAGTGAAAAATTGTCAACTTTAACATCCTGAAAAAGGGGACCAGTATTTTTCCATGCTCTGAAAATTCAGACAAAACAGAAATAGAGCTTCATTTTTGTAATAGACAACTTCAAGATATACCGTTTGTAACCGATAACCGCTGCAAATTTCCGAAATTATCACTAAAAAGATAGGTGCACCATTTCAAAACCACATATCTGGCTTTGTCAGATTTTTTTTCAAAAATTGTTAAGTACAAAAATGAAGCTCTAATTCTGTGTAGTAAATTCTTAAATTTTCAAAAAAATAAAAGAATTCTGAACTACTTCTGTAGGATCTCAAAGGGCCCCATACTGTCAAGTTTGAGCTCAATTATCTGAACTCCTATGCAAGATATCAAAAAGTTGACAACTGACAAAACATTTTTGAAACTAGTAAATAATTTATCAGTTGACAACTTTTTCCTATCGTTGACAGGAACCGAGAAAAATTGACTCGAAGTTTTGAAGAGGGTCTTTCTATTAAGGGTATCACGATAACTAATTTCTACTCGAAAAATCGAAACATGATTTTTTTGTCCAGTACTTACTCTGAAATTTACCATGAAACATTTGTTGAAAGCAAATTTAGGTTCATCGAAGTGGAATTTTTTTAATTCAACAAACTTTAACAAGTTTGTGAGTGCTCTCAACTTTCATTTCCCTCTGTTTAACTTTTTGACAAGTTCCTCACATTAAAACAACTTCCACATTTTATTCAAACATCCAAAAAAACATTGAAAAAAAATTTTCTCTGTTGAAATTTTCAACACTTTTCCTGAGCAATGCTGTTTCTTTTTCAGTCTTTCATAATTCCTCACTCATGAATAACTTTCTAAAGTTTTCTTTATGATGAAAAATTGTTTTTTTTTCTGAAATTTCGAAACATCTTTGGAAAAGTTTTGATTTTTTTTTCATCTTTCTAATGCTACCATAATCTTTCCCTCTAATCTTCCTCATGAATAAGTGTTTCATTTTTCCTTTACTCATCAAAACTGATGTCAATTTTTAGAGAAGCTCAGGAGTTTCATAATTATTTTTTTCTTATCAATTAATCCCTTCCTCAACAGAGTTTCAGCATACATAGCTTCAGAACTCACATAAATTATTTTTCTTTGATAAAAATTGAAACTACAGACATTCTTCCTCCCATTTTTCAAATCCTATCATGATTCATGTCCGCCGATTCCACACCCAAACGAAAAATTCTTGATTTTGTGTCAGGTACTTGAACATCCTTTGAAAAAATTTTAGTATAAAAATGATGTTGCGTATAGAAAAAAAAGCATTCTTCTAATATGCTTGCAAAATTGTTTCTGGTAAGTATTGTTCCATAGAATCAAACAAGAAATATTTTCAGATTGCTCATCTTCTACAGTACACCTTCTCTCAACAAACACTATCTGGAAAATCTCTTGTCAATCATGTGAACACCATTCAAACGTTATGGAAAGCTGAATATTTCGAAATCTCAGAAGAGGAGATGAAATTCAAGGTGATGGATTCCAAATTCGCCTTTCCAGAAGAGCAAATATCTTCTGAACCCAATAATTCTCTTCCTGGATCCTTGTCAAGAGCCCCAACAAGTTTCGATGCTCGCGATTATTGGCCAAACTGTAAATCTATAAAAATGATTCGCGATCAGGCATATTGTGGATCTTGTTGGGCGTTTGGGGCAGCTGAAGTGATATCCGATCGTATTTGTATTCAATCAAATGGAACTGATCAACCCATAATCTCTCCAGAAGATATCCTAACGTGTTGTACGAATTCTCATGGATGCCAAGGAGGATTTGTTTTGGAAGCAATGAAGTTCTGGAAATCAAAGGGGGTGGTAACAGGAGGAGATTTTCAAGGCGATGGGTGTATTCCATATTCTTATGGTTCTTGTTCAGACTGTCACACAGCACAGACAACGCCGAAATGTAAAAATGAGTGTCAAGTGAAATATACAAAGAATGAGTATAAAGAAGATAAGTATTATGGTAAGTGGGTTTCATCGGAATTCCAGTACCCACCAAAGATTTGATTTCGCCTATTTTTAATTAAAAGCAATAAATTTTGGATGGCTCCAAAATACCGTATTTTCTCTAATTGAAGCTTACCCTGTGCGTGCACTTTGAGCTCAATTATCTCAGTTGCTATGAAAGATATCGAAAAACTGTCAACTGTTAAAATAATTGTGATGTTATGATAAAGAGCTTCATTTTTGTAGTTAACAACTTTTCTCTAAAAACGTACCCAAACAAGATATCCCGCGAGAAAACAACCAAGCGCCAAAACTTCCAAGCAAATATGATCTGGATGAATTTTTACGGAAACCAGACATAAAAACGTTGCCTAATTGTTAATCAAATTATCACAAACATTTTATCAGTTAATACATTTTTGATATCTATCCTAGGAACTTGTGAGATAATTGAGCTCAAAATTGAAAGTCGAGGGGCTCTTCTATTGCAGGTTTTAGGATAGGAAAAATTAAGAATTTTTAATTTTCGATTTCAGGATCTTCCGCTTACCGCCTCTCCACATCTAACGCTGTCCGTACAATCCAAAGTGAAATTCTTAGAAATGGTCCCGTCGAAGCAACTTACCAAGTTTACGAAGACTTCTACTATTACAAATCTGGGGTTTATGAATACATATCTGGAAGACATATGGGTGGACATGCTGTAAAAATCATTGGATGGGGTGTCGAGGAAAACGTGAACTATTGGTTGATTGCAAATTCATGGGGTACCGGTTTCGGAGAAAATGGATTCTTCAAAATGCGACGAGGCAACAACGAGTGTGGAATTGAGAATTATGTGGTGGCGGGGATGGCGAAAAGTGGGAGGAGTGTTTTGGATTTTGGAGTTTTTGTATTTTTGTATATCTCTCTTTTTTGGGTATGTTGTGAATAAATTGTAATTTTTTGATTTTGCTCTGTTGAAAAATTCTTAGGATTTTTAGAATTCCTCGGATTATTTAATTATCGACAAAATCCTACTATTCTACTATTGTTTAGAATAGTAATCGTCAAAAATTCAAGTTTTTACAGATTCTTTGGGTGCTTTGATAACGTTATGCTTTCGGGAATATCACGTGAATCGAAAATTGCTGATAAGGTTCCGGTCAAGCCAATAAATCATAGACATAGCGGCTGATGCACCATGTGCCGACATAATAAAATAGGCTAAATTGGTGGAATGGACCATGTGATATGCTGATAAGATTTTTTATCAGTTTCGGAATCTTCATAATGTGTAGACGGATAGCGGGACCTAAAAATAGGGAAATGTGAGAGGTGCGAGATGTTTAACCATGAGATGTTTAGATGTTTTGTTACTTGCAAAATTTTTCAAAATAAGAGTGTTCATAAAAAATGAATTTTCACGAAAAAATTTTTTTAAAATGTCTGAAATCGCCAATTTTTTTCTCAAATTCGGATAACCCGGCCCGGCCAAGCTCGGCCAGGCCCGCAAGCCGAACCCTGATTTTGCAAGTATGGTTTAACCTGGAATATTTGACAAGGGGAAAATGAGTATTTTCCAATATTTCCAGAACAATTCCTCATAACCAAAACCCTAGAATTTGACCTTGCCAATTGATAACACTAATAGAAACCGACAACACTCTTGCTAATTGATAAACAGACACAGCAAAACCATGATACCTGTTTATCCATTGATTTTTCGGTTCTGATTTCCTTCAATGCATTCTGATCTACTTTTACCACAGAGAAGGTTTGTCTCCTGTATTTTTTTTTAATTTCTAAAAAACAAATCTTCAGAAGAACCCCACGACGTCGTCTCCCAAAAAAATATAAATACATTTTTCTCGCATTGGCAGTTCTACTGGGCCTTGGTGTTGTCGCAGGGGCACTGACAGAATTGATTTTCTACTTTATTGAGGATCAAGTGGGTAAGAAAACTACTGTAATACCTGTAATAGAAGGCCGTCCGCACTGTCAAGTTTGAGCTTATTTTTCTTGGCTACTATGGATGATATCAAAAAAGTGTCAACTGTCAACATTCTTTTGATAATGTGATAAAGAATTTATCAATTGACAACTTTTTATATCTTCGACGGGAAGCGAGATAAATTAGCTCAATGTTGAAGGTTAGGGGACCCTTCTAATACAGGAATGATTGATTTTCATTACGAATTAGTTTTTTCTAGAACCTTCTACACGCACACAAACTTCTCTAGTTACACTTCCACCTGAAAAGTGTCAAAAACGAGTCGTTGGCTACTTCAATGGTTGGGAATCTCGAGAAATCTCCCTTTCGCAATTATTCAAGCTCAGCCATGTGATTTATTGTTGTCTGGGTTTCGATGCAAATCAAACTCATTTTTTGGACACTATCATTAGCAAACGAAGATTTTCCGATGTTCGAAATCATGCTAGAGCATCAAATACCGGTGTTAAAGTGATGGCTGGCATTGGAGGTACCCATTATTCCCAATATTTTCCACAAGTGGCTGCAGAGAATAGAGAGTAAGCTTTAAAATAATTAAGATTGATTGTGACCTCATGAAAACAGCAGTTTTCAGATTTTTTGTCAATTCTACTATCAGTCTTATCAAAGATTATCAGATCGACGGAGTGGATCTTTACTGGCACGAGCCTGATAGCTATGGAGGCGACAAGGAGAACTATGTCTTGCTGGTTAGAGACCTTCGGCTCAAACTCACGGAGCTTCAAAACTCTCAAAACAGAACGACACCTTATCTTCTTACCGTGCTGACACCTAGCTTTGGTTGGTACCTGGAAGATGGCGTGGACCTTTCGGGACTCTCAGAATACGTGGATTTCTTCAATGTAGCTTCAGATGATTACACTGATTCTTCAAGTGAAGCACTGGGAGCATACACCAAACCCCATGCTCCGTTGTACTATGGAAGTGCGGACAAGCCGAAACAAAACGTTGATTGGACCATGAGATACTACACTTGTGACACTAAACAACCGGAGAAAGTCAATATGGGACTACCGTTTTTTGGAAGATACTGGAAAAATGTGCTAGATCCGATTGCTAAAAATAATGAGGTTTGGAGAAGAGTGGAAACGGCTGATGGTGTAGTTGAGAAAGGATTGGTCTTATGGAAAAATGTGGTAAGAGATGGATGGAACATTTCGAATATAAAATGGGACCAGAAATCCAAAAGTTCTTATATCTGGGACCCAGAGAACAAGTGGTTCTTGGGAATTGACGATGAGCGATGTCTCAAGACAAAAATGAACTACGTGAGGGACAAGAATCTGGGAGGAGTCATGATTTGGTCCATCGATATGGATGATTACTCGGAGACTCTTCTGAATGCAGTGGCTTCTGTGAATATGTGCAGTGAGGTCAAATATGATAAGAAGCTCAAGTATAATTGTTAAATGATCTCCTTTATTTCGAAAATTTTGTTTCTAAATTGAATAAAATCAATTGAACCCAGAAATTAGCTTATATCGAATTGGGAAGACCATCAACTCTACAGTAATCCACCATCCGGGTCCATCTCCATATCCTGGAGTGTTCACATTTCTTATCTCCACATCCCGACCTTCGGCGATCATCATCAATTTTTAATGCGATTCTCCATGAGCCATTTGGTCACTTCTCGGTTGCTGGTCTGGCTTAAAAAATTTTTTATTTCGTAAAAAGCTCTATTATCTCGATTTCTGTCAAAGATATCAAAACTGTGTCAACTGATAAAATGTTTCTGATATTATGATTAACAATTTATCAGTTGACAACTTTTTGATATCTCCTCACAGGAAGTGAAATACAGTGGCGAGAAGTGGTGAAGAGAATTTTTTCGAACATTTATAAATTTGTTCGGATTCACGAACCACTTTTACATCTGAAACTGCTCTCAAAATTCCGAGAATGAAAAATTTTCAAAAAACCGATTTTTATGCTTTTGGATTTTACAGATATTCTCATGCAAAACTTCAAGTCGATTGAGCAATTTGAACAAAGTTATGAATGTTCGAAAAAATTCTCCTCACCAATTATCTCAGTTGCTATGAAAGGTAAACTCGCCACTGTATATGGTCTCAACGTTGACGGTTGGTTCGACAAATATTTGAACTTTCACTGTTAAAAAAGTTTAAACCCACCCAGTAATCGTATTATATCTACACGACTCCACATCGAACTGAATTTGCTTCTTCTCTGCCTCACTAGCTTGATTGAAACATCGACTACGGTAGATTGCCACGTTGCACTTCCCCCGACGAAACGAAACACAATACTGTTTGACTGCTCCGTAGAATGCGTGATTATCATATCCAGAACAATCATTGTAGACCATAAGGTAGAAAGAGTCGCTGAAAAAAAGTTCTGCTATTTTTTTCTGTTATTCTCCTTAAACTTACTCTGTTAAAATCTGATCTAGAGAGCTCTGAAGCATATTTGCTTTTTCCGCATTCCCAACATCTTGATGATTATCCTGAGTGTCATGAACCAACCAAGCAATGACCGTATCCCAATAGGTCTCCTTATATTCATCTCTCCACTGATCTATACTTTTATTCAGTGCCTCAATTCGCGATTTTAGCTGGCTCGGTCCATACATGTTCTTGCCCCAGAACATTCCATTGATTTAAGTTTCCAGGAACAGCTGAAGATTTTGAAGTTTAAAAATCAATAGATTAAGTTTTGATTTACAAATTGGGTGATAACGGCATCTATGATAGTTCTCCACTTATCATAAGTCGCTTTGGATCTCAGCCGATCAGCTTTCATTGCCATTTTCAACGGATTTGTGGATTCTTGTTCCAGAAGACTTATCATTTTCTGAAATTCATTTTGAAATAGGCCTGCTAACTACCGCTTACACAAAATAAGGCCTTAATATTTTGAGCTCATATATCTCGGCTCCTGTGAGAGATACCTAAAAGAAATCACTAACAAAATGTAGCTGATAATATGATGAACATTTTGTTAGTTAACTACTTTTTGACAACTTTCACAGGAAATGACATATATGAGCTCAAAGCCTATAGAAAACACTGATACTAAAACCACATTGATTGCTGGATGGCAAATTGGCAATGACATTTATTTTTCGATTGTCCATGATTTCGTACTTTTCTTAGACCACCCAAACCGTCAACTTCGAGCCCTTATATCCCGATTCCTGTAATATATTTCAAAAAGTAGTCAACTAACAAAATATTTTTGATAATATGATGAATATTTCATCAACTGACTACTTTTCGATATCTTTTACAGCAACCGAGATGTATGGGCTTGAAGTTCCCGGTCGTGTCACTTACATAAGCATACATTAGTGGTGGTGTCTTTTGAGAGACATCTTTGAAAATCTCGTAGCTATCTTGGCATGGTTTGTTGATGGTTTCTTGCATGAACTTCATAAGGGTTGATGCGGTTTGAGCAAGGTCCTCAAAACATGGCCTAGAAATTTAGAATTCTCGGAAAACTCTTCAACCTACGCCATAGAACTCGTTCTCCACAATAAACGCCTTTAGACTATCAAACTCCCATGCCATTTTATCCGAAGCTGGTTGATTTTCCGGTCGAGCTCGAACAGCATAAGCATGGCTGGATCCGGTTTGTCGGGATTCAGAATTCCAATCATATCCTTTAAAAACGTGCCACATCCGGCAATCATTAGAAGCTTATCAGCGATATCAGCGAATTTGAACGAGCCAATGTTCAGGCCGTCATTGCCTATTTGTTCGCCTTAAAAATTTTTTAAAAATCTAGAAAAAAAATTGTAAACAGACTTACCGGACATTTTGGAGGAAGACACTGGCTCTTTTCTATTTTTTTTGTCTCTTTATGTATTTAGTTTAGTCTCAGCAATTTGTCTTCCTCATTAAAAAAATTGGATAACAACAAGACATTTATGAGTCATTGATTTTCATTTTTTTGGATTTCCTTCCTCAAATTTCCTGTTTCCCTTCTTTCCGTTTCTCATACCCTCCCGCGCCCGCTCAACTGCCGCCGACCAAACATTCAAATACGCATTGTTTCTCTCCCCTCGCCGTCGGTTCCATGGTGTAGCGGTTAGCACTCAGGACTTTGAATCCTGCGACCCGAGTTCAAATCTCGGTGGAACCTATCGCTTTTTGCTTTTGTTTGTTGACTTCATCTGCTAGATTTTTGACCTTTTTTATTTTCTGAGGAATAAGCGGGACACTGAGGAATCTTTTTTCTTGTTTTTTTTTTGTTGACAATCTACTTCTTACTAAGGAAACTTTTCTGTGTGTGTGTCTGTGTGTCCGTCTCGGACATTAACTTGAATAACTAAAAGGCGCGTGGGACTCCTATAGTGGTGTGTGGTATGTAGTCATGGACTGCCGAGCGCTTCATGTCTATGGTGTACTGGGCCTTCTAGCTAACAGGGAAGCTACAGTGTTGAGAATCGAAAATTTCAAAACTATGCTCAAACTCAATAAAACTTCACGAAATTATGCAAAACGGTTTTTTGGCCTTTTTTTTATGTGTTGCCTGCATAAAATTGATCACAAACCTTCAGAACTGAAAAATTTTGAAAATTTCGTTTCTTTTGTATATCACTTGAATTTCGATCCTGTGGACTACTGGAAATGGGTCATAGTAGTTTCCTTTTGAATACAAGGTTCTTAAGTTATGCGGAAAATTCTAGAACATTCCAGAAAAATTCCAGAAAGATCCAGAACATTCTAGAAAATTCCAGAAAATTCCAGAAAGATTCAGAAAATTCTAGAAAATTCCAGAAAATTCCAGTAAATTCCAGAAAGATTCAGAAAATTCTAGAAAATTCCAGAAAATACTAGGAAGTTCCAGAACATTCTAGAAAAATCCAGTAAATTCCAGAAAGATCCAGAACATTCTAGAAAATTCCAGTTAATTCCAGAAAGATTCAGAAAATTCTAGAAAATTCCAGAAAATCCTAGGAAGTTTCAGAACATTCTAGAAAATCACAGAAAGTTCCAGAAAATTTCAGAACATTCTAGAAAATTCCAGAAACTCCCAGAAAGTTCCAGAACATTCTAGAAAATCACAGAAAGTTCCAGAATATTTTAGAAAATTCCAGAAAATTCCAGAAAGTTCCAGAAAATACAAGAAAATTCCAGAAAATCCTAGGAAGTTTCAGAACATTCTAGAAAATTCCAGAAAATTCCAGAAAGTTCCAGAAAATACAAGAAAATTCCAGAAAATTGTAGAGCATTTTAGAAATTTTCATGATATTCCGTTTTTTGAATGCTCAACGTAAACCCATGTTGAGGTTGAAAAAAAGGCAAACAATTCGGAGGGTACAAAAATTCGGGGGTACAAGGGGGTACAAAGCAATTTAAGGGGTAAAAAATCCGCAATTAGGGGGTACAAAATACTGAA